TTACAAAAGGTTTTTTTTCTCTCACGAAAGCTTATGCTCAAATAAATTGATTAGTCTCTAAGGTGCCACAAGTACTCCTTTTCTTTTTGTGAATACAGACTAACACAGCTGTTACTCTGAAACTTGCTGCTTAAGATGCACTATCTATCACCTAGGATGCTGTTACTACTGAGTCAAGCATATGAAGCAATGATTTTAATGGGGAAAATGTGGAAGTAAAGGCAACTGGAGTAGCCTTTGTCAGAGGCAGGTGGAAAGAGAGTACTGGCGGTAAGACTACTACAGCACTAATCCAGAGCTCTGAACGACAGAGACCAGACTATTTAAATATAATTTCAGAATAAGTATTCATTACCCCCCCCCTCCAAAAAATCATCATCACATAAGAGACAGTTAACGATGTTTGGAATGGAGAAGGCAAGAGAATGAATCTAGAGTTATTACAACAGAAAGGCCCGGGTCCTTCAGTTGTTGTACGTAATGTTATTGTAGCCATGTCAGTCCAGGATATTAGAGACACAAAGTGGGTGAGGCAATATCTTTCATTGGACCAACTTCTGTTAGTCTCTCTCTCACCAACAGAAGCTAAAAGATATTACCACACCCACCTTGTTTCTCTCAGATCCTTCAGTGACCTTTGAAAGTATGTAATCCTCTAATCATCCAAAAAATATTGACCGCTTGCCCATGATTGCTATCAAGATTAATTTAACTCTAGTTTTATGAAGCTCTGCAGAAGATCATCAGAAACCTTAGGAAAAATCAAGAAAGGGTTAGTACTCCAGGGAGTGTCGATCTCAAAGATGGGCGTCTGCAGAGGAGTTCTGCGGGTCAGCTTCAGCACTGTGACAGTTAAGAGATCAACAGGACTGAAGTCGAAGGTAAGCTCTTATGGGACTTCAGCTACTGTAGCCTCCCAGGAACATAACAACCTCTCGGCTAGCCTCGAGTTTCAGTTCACTGTAACTCAAAAAAGCAGTCTGGTTTACCTGTAGGAGGACAACAAAAGAGAGTTCCTTCTTAACCCCAGGGTGGAGTCGGGGGCAGGAGGGCAAATAGCAGGGAAGGTACTCAGAGTAGCAGCCGTGTTAGTCCGTATTCGCAAAAAGAACAGGAGTACTTGTGGCACCTTAGCAACGAACAAATTTATTTGAGCATAAGCTTTTGTGAGCTACAGCTCACTTCATGTGTTTTTAGGGACGGTACTGGGAACAAATTGAGATTACGTAGAAATAATCTCTGCATTAACCAGTTCATTAGCAGTGGATATAATGCAAGATGTGTTGTAGTGCAAGACAGCCATCTTGAAGGGGTTGAAGCTGTGGTCGAGGTAACCCCCAAAAGACTTGAACTAGCAAGTGAGGAGAAGACTCCAGTAAACAGGAGTTATGAGGAACCACGAAGACTTCCTTTTACTTTCACTGTAGAATTAGACAATAGAAAAATCTTCATTTCCCGATCATCACCTGGAAAAGTGATTGTACCAATTACAGAGCCAGAAACTTGGGAACAAGAACAAGAAAGAAGAGACCAAGAGAGACTAGAAAGGAATATATGGGAAGGAAAGGTTAAGCAAGCTGGGAAACAAAGAGGAAAATGACCAGTTGAAAATAAAATACACCAGCCAATTTTTGTTCCGAGCTCATTGTTGTCATTCTGTCAGCCATCTGGGAGGTCTGGACTAAAAATATCTCAGGGATGCAGTAATACTTACTGTTCTCTATAAGAATCTATTAGATCTCTCTAAAAGCATAAAAGATTATTACAAAAACATGGACCAAGAAAGGCTTTCATCTAAATAAAGGCACCTCTAAATACAGTCTACTTCAAAAGCACACACAAATTAAAGGGCAGAGACCTAAATCATTCCTACATTCTGTGAAGTACCTCAAGCACTTTGGGCACCAGATAAATATTAATTATACCTGATTTTTTCCTTCTGTGAGTTTTCATATATTGAGATGGGAATCCTGTGCCCTTCAAATGTGAAAGGCTGAAATTTACAGGAGTCCCATTTAAACTCCAGCTGTGGGTGACCCAGCATAATCTTATTCATCACTTACAAAAGGCCTGATAATTGGTCAGAAACCAAGGTTTGGAAAAAATTGCTTTAAAAAGAACTTGCACCTGACTGAGTAAAAAAGCTGTTGGATGTTTTGTTTTCATTATGGAAAAAAAAGACCATTAATAAAAAAGGCATTGGCTAAACGTTACACATAAATTAAGGAGCTGTTAGGTGCCAAGCTTTTCTAAATACATATAGAAATACCGTATTATTGCAAAATGCCATTCCCTTCAAGGGCACGAAATAGATACTTCAAGACATAATGATATTAGATAGGTTTCAGAGTAACAGCCGTGTTAGTCTGTATTCGCAAAAAGAAAAGGAGTACTTGTGGCACCTTAGAGACTAACCAATTTATTTGAGCATAAGCTTTCGTGAGCTACAGCTCACTTCATCGGATGCATACTGTGGAAACTGCAGAAGACATTATATACACAGAGACCATGAAACAATACCTCCTCCCACCCCACTCTCCTGCTGGTAATAGCTTATCTAAAGTGATCACTCTCCTTACAATGTGTATGATAATCAAGGTGGGCCATTTCCAGCACAAATCCAGGTTTTCTCACCCCCCCACCCTTTTTCCAAAAACCACACACACAAACTCACTCTCCTGCTGGTAATAGCCCATTCAAAGTGACCACTCTCCTTATAATGTGTATGAAAATCAAGGTGGGCCATTCCAGCACAAATGCCACACTATCAGAGGCTCGTTCACCTGCACATCCGCCACTTCAATCTCTCTGGTCATGCAATTACAGACCTGAAGGTCGCTATCTTAAAACAAAAAAACTTCAAATCCAGACTCCAGCGAGAAACTGCTGAATTGGAATTCATTTGCAAATTGGATACTATTAATTTAGGCTTAAATAGAGACTGGGAGTAGCTAAGTCATTATGCAAGGTAGCCTATTTCCCCTTGTTTTTTCCTACCCTCCTCCCCCGCCCCCCCCAACGTTTGTATCTGCAGTTTCCACAGTATATATAATGTCTTCTCCAGTTTCCACAGTATGCATCCGATGAAGTGAGCTGTAGCTCATGAAAGCTTATGCTCAAATAAATTGGTTAGTCTCTAAGGTGCCACAAGTACTCCTTTTCTTTTAATGATATTAGATAGCTTTCCTCCAGTAAAAGATTTTACTTTGCAACATACTCAATGCACGGAGGAGTATGGCTATATTATTTCATTGCTTAAATATTTATGCAGCCCTTGCAGAATTTCCACTTTTCATTACATTAACACTGTTGACTGATGGATTATGCCACTATGTTACTCTCTTCCACCAAGAATCATTACCATTTTATGGGAAGCTAGTGCAAAAGTTATTAAATGGTGTGACACACAGCTCACACACTATATCAGTGTTATGGGATCTTCACCAGCTATCAATTAGTTTTCGGGTGCAGTTCAAAGTATTGGTATTAGTCGACAACGCTGGAAACAGTTCAGTCCCGCTCCTTAAAAGACAGACTCTCTGCCCTAGCAATTACTGTAATAAGAACAGATGCTTGAGTCCCCTTGGTGTTATCTGGAATTTGCTTGATCTGTCAGAGCCTGGATTTGTTAACCTGCACATCTGGGTGGGGCAATTGTATACAGGGCCATGAATGTAGGGCTGTGGCTTGGTGTGCAGGAGGGGGTGTGGTGTGCAGGAGGGGGCTCAGGGCAAAGGGCTGGGGTGCAGGAGGGGGCACAAGGCAGGGGTGTGGGGTACAGAAGGGATTCAGGGTGCAGGCTCCGTCCAAGCGGCACTTACCTCGAGCAGCTCCGGAATGACAGCAACACACAGCGGGGCTAAGGCAGGGTCCCTGTCTGCCCTGGCCCCGCACCACTCTCAGAAGTGGCCAGCATGTCCGGCAGTGGCTCCTAGGGGTAGGGTGGGGCAGGGCAGGTGGCTCCGCCGCACGCTGCCCTCACCTACGAGTACACCCCCAAAGCTCCCATTGGCTGCAGTTGGCTGTTCCTGGCCAATGGGAGCTGCAGAGGGCAGCTGTCTGCAGGTGAGGGCAGCACACAGAGCCCTCTGCGCCCCCCCATCCTCACCCCCACCCAAGGGATGCAGGGATATGATGATGACGGCTTCTGGGAACAGCGTGGGGCCAGGTCAGGCAGGGAGTCTGCCTAAACCCCGCTGCACCACAGGGCTGGCAATCCCACTGGCCGGATTGAAATCCCCGACAGGCCAGATCCAGCCTGTGGGCTGTAGTTTGCCCTCCCCGGATATAACAGCTTATTAAACATTAGAGATCTTGAATTCCTGATATTTGTATCATTTTATCTTGTACTGGGTGGTGAAAAAAATTGATGAACATGCATATCTAAAGCCTAAAACCAAGGGAAATATCTGCATAATATTGAAAAAAAATCCAGTGAAAATAGTACACACACACACTCCCCTGCTGTGTTTGCAACCCTAACACTACAGCCCTGGACTGGTGTATCAGAGCCAGGAAATGAAATTGACTACTTTCTTTTCATTTTCACAGCATGAACAAATACAAGATGCAAACAAGGGATCTGCTCCTACAATAACTTGCAATATGTAAAGTATGGGAATAAAGAACCCCATTGAAGTCAACACAACTGTCCCGAGTGTATACTGTTAAGCAGGCAGGTTAAATCTTTGCTTCATCAGGGCCGAAGGCAACACAAGGGCAAAAAGTTGTTCAGATTATTTCAAAAACTTTCAATTAATACCTAATATATTCAAGATGTTTCTAATGACATAGTGAGAGATTTTTAAACATGGGATTTGGCTGCAGCAGCATCCTATCAGCCTCCCACATGACACCCCACACCCCATTCACATCCTAACAGGTGGCTTTTGGCAAGGCACCTCTTGCTAGCGTCTCTCCACGCATGAGGTGAGTGAGCTGAGAGAAGGGGGGTCGATTCCAACTTCCCAGCGCGGACAGAGGTGACCCATAACTCTTACCTGCAACATCGTGACCACGTGGCAGGGGTTCAGCAGATAGATGACCGTCCTGGTGGCGAACTTGAACCCCACCTCCAGGCCGAAGGTGAGACAGAGGGCCACCAACAGCAGGTTCTTGCCCAGGCTCTCCTGCTTGGCCTGGGGTTGCTGGGCCGGATGGTTTCCCTCCTCCCTGGAGGGCAGCTGCCGCCTGATCTTCCGCAGGGACACCAGGATCTCCAGGACGCCCACGGTGAGGAAGACCAGGCTCTCCAGCAGGCGCTGCTGCGGGGTGAGGAAGGCGGCGCACTCGGGCCCCCCGTTGCCCGCGAAGCCGGGGTCCACCCCGCCGTAGAGCCAGTCCAGGAGGTTGCTGAGGCTGTAGCGGGCCATGGCGCGGTGCTGCCTCTCCTGCTCGCCCTCGCTGTGCCGGAGCAAGTCGGACCAGGGCGGGACCCCAGCCAGGATGCGGGCTGGCTGGCGGAGCATGAAAAGCGGGGACCCCCGGCAGGAGCTAGCCGCACCCAGCCGGGCAGCCCCGAGCCCTGCTCCCTCGGCGGCGCGTCTGCGGAGAGAGGGAACCACTCAGCGCGGGAGGGGAACCGGCGGCCCCGCCCCCGGGCCCCGCCCCCTTCCTCCCGTTGGTGTCCGCCCCGCGCGCCCCCTGCCGCCGCCCCGGCCCCCGCGCGCCGAGGGGTCGGATCCCTCAGCGCGCCGGGAGCGGGCAGGCCTAGCGCCCCTGGCTACGGGGCCAGCGGCGGCAGGGGGCGGCGGCAGCAGCTGCCCAGGCAGCAGGGGGCGCCCGCCCTTGCCGCGTCCCGGTTGTGGCGCGGGCGGCTCTCCCAGTCCCTGCCCGGCGCAGCAACATCACCCCAGCGCCGCGCCTGACTCACACCGAGACAGGGATGAACCGGCCCCGATTGGCTGCGCCGGGCCGCCCGCTCCCCGCTTCCTCCGCCCTCTTGCTGTGGCCTTCTCCACCCGCCCCTGCCGCCCTCCTTCCTCATCCACTCAGCCCTACTGCCTCTTCCCCCTTCTCCTCCTGCCCCCCCCTTCCTCGTCCACTCACCCCCCCTTGCCCGCCTTTACCTCCCCCTTTCACCCTCTGCACCTTCCTCCTCCCCTCACCACCTTTCCCCTGCGACCTCCTTCCTCCTCCCCTCACCCCCTGCAACCCCGTTCACCCCTGCTGCCTCTTCCCCCTTCTCCACCCACCCCTGCCGCCCTCTTCCTCCTCCACTCACCCCCCTTGCCCACCTTTACCTCCCCCTTTCACCCTCTGCACCTTCCTCCTCCCCTCACCACCTTCTCTCCTGCGCCCTCCTTCCTCCTCCCCTCACCCCCTGCAACCTCCTTCACCCCTGCTGCCTTCTCTCCCCACCCCTCTCCTTCCTCCTGCTCCCTTCTCCCCGAGCCCTCCTTCATTCCTGCTGCCTTCTCCCCTCCCCCCCTGCAGTGCCTGCCTTCATCTCTGCTTCCTCCTCTCCCTTTCACCCTCTACACCTTCCTTCACCCCCTGTGCCCTCCTCCACCCCTTTTCCCCTCACCCACTGCGCCCTCCTTCCTCCTCCTCCTCCCCTCCTTGTGCCATCCTTCCTCCTCCACTCACCCTGTGCGCCCTCCTTCACCTCTGCATCCTCCTCCCCCTTTCACCCTCTGCACCCTCCTTTGCCCCTTTCCTCCTCCCCTCATTCCATTTTCTCCTCCCCTCACCCACCCCTGCACCCTCCTTCAGCCCTCCTCCACTCACCTCCTTGTGCCATCAGTCTCCTCCTTCTGCTTCCCATTCTTGCCTCCTCTTCACTCACCACAACCCATGGGTGATGGAACTTAAAGTGATTTCCTCATATACAGGATTTACCATTTGGTTCAATGATTTTCAGCACCCCCACTATAAAAACTGTTCCAATGCCACGCGCCCAACCTGCTCCCTCTTGCTTCTGCCACTACCTCCTTTATGCCCCAGCTCAGACATCTTTAAAATGCCCATGTGTTTTGTTTTAATCCCAGACACTGGAGCAGGAAAGAGAGTGAAAAAAAGGTAGAAGGACGGATTCCTTCGTGCTGTTTTCAAACAACCACCCAAAAAAACCAAACAAACCACACAGCACTTCTGCAATAGGGTTACTAGAGCTGTTTCCTGTATTAAATGCTGGCGTGGATGGGGTTGTTTTCTCATGCTCATAATTGTAGTTGTTGTCGAATCAGTTCATCAAAAACAGCACAACTACCATGAGACAGATCAGCTTCTAGTGCAAGTGCCTCCAAAGCAAAGGGTCATAGTAGATGTAGCAGCCCACTACTTCACCTGCTGCACCATTAAAGGCCAAATTTTCAAAAGGGGCTTCAACTGCCCCCCCCCCAATTTGCATATATTTAAAGTGCTCACAACCCTGAAGGGAAACTTTTCTGTACTATCACTGTGTTCTCAAACAGAATTGACTCTGTCTCCTCTTATACCATTATACACATGCTGAATTTTGTGTGTGCATTGGCACTGCAAATCATTATGGATGCAAAGTTATATGCACACAAATAGAACCCTTGTTTTGCAAATTTGATCTTAAGAACTGGCAAGAGCTAATTCTATCTGGCCTGTAGCTGTGTAGTGTACTTATAAAATGTGTTTGTATAATTTTGCTGCCATAGAAAGATTAGTACTAAAGTAGAATTGTGGGATTAAGGGGATGCTGTCAAACTTGGTAGGACTTTAAGTGAACATATCTAGACAACTGTCTCATGTGATAAAACTTTTCTCAAAGATTCCACCCACTGTGTATGATGATCTGAACCAATTCTTGCTGCCAACCTCAACTTAAAAATAATAATGTCACTACTTAAGACATATTGTGCTGTGAAAAAACTTGGTCTGTCTTATTATAGCATGTGTGTGCCAGTTCTGTATTCCAATGCAACAGTTAAGGCCCTCCATCTTCATAATTGTCAGCATCAGGTACATTCAATTTTCAAAATAAACTACAAAGGCAAACTAGTATAGATAAGGACTTGTAAATAAGACCCCTTTCATTGTAGTTATTCTAGGACCTCCAGTCAGCTCTGCCATAGACTTCAGTGCTACCCTGGACAAGTTATTTACCCTCAGTCTCCCCCCACCCCATTAAAATAGGGAGGAAGTTATTTGCCTCAACCACTTGGCAACTATTGGTTGAAAAACCCACTATAAAAGCTTATTGGTTAAGTCAACTGTGAACAAAAAATGAGGGAACAAATATGAGAATTTTGTACAAGGCTTCTCTTATGTTATCTAGCAACCTATGTGTATTGTATTTCTATTTGTCAGAAATCATTCCTCAAATACAGTTGGCCTTGCCTTTGCAGGTGGGGGTTATGGAACAGTGCAAATTGCAAGAGAATTTAAAGATACAGATGCCATGTCAGACCTAAAAAACAAAATAAGGTATGTAGTTGGTTTTTTTGTTTATTAACACACTTTTTCCTGTTGCTCTATAAATAAAACTGCATATCAGGTGAAATAGCAGCACCAGACTGGTTTTCCTTTGTCACTCACACCTTCTTGAATACATGTTGTAGATGTAATGGTGGGAAGGACACATGGAGCCAGGAAGCCACCAGCACAATGTGTGGCTGTAGGATCTAGAGCTCTAGATAGGATGAGGTAACAGTAGTGAATGGAATATACTTTTTTCCCTTCCTTGCCCTCTCCCTCCCACCAAGATTTCCCAAAAACCTCTCTCTTAGGGTTGGAGTTGTGGAATGAGAAGGTGGGGAAATAGGTGGATATTAACATTACCGGATCAGTCTTGTCCAGTGATCTCAGCATGATACTGGAAGGCAGAAACTCCTGCCCCAGCCATCTCTATCTGAACTTTCCCATCAGTAAATAAAGATGCTATCTCTATGGGGGTGTAGGTGATGAATTGGTTAAGGGGTATAGAAATGCTGAATCGTTATATAGACAGAAATGTGTAAATCTGTAAATTAGAAAACCAGGAGGGATTTTGAATTGAATTTTGAGGTGGATAAGAAATCAGTCGGGCAGAAAAAGCCTGCATCCTATAATTATAGGGAGTAGTCTGGCTAGCATGGGACTTAAGTAAATCCATAAAAGAGGGCAATACCAGAGGGCCTGAACTTATAAGGTGCTGAGTATTATTGAGCACTGAGGTATGAATATGGATTTGAGCTGAGGCAAGGTCAAAAAAGGAGGAATTTAGGTGATATTTTGTATCTAGTAATTGACAGACTTCTACATAAGGAAGCCGTGGGAGGAAGAGCAAAGTTTATTAATGATGTGGGTGTTTTCTGTATATCCCCTTAGTATCTGGTCTTTAATATTTTTAACTTGTGTTATAGAACAGGAAAATTGTGTTAAGATGCAGAGCAGTGGTGGGTAACAGGCAGGCCACAAGGTGGCCTGTCAGGGTAATCCACTGGCAGGCTGCCAGACCATTTGTTTACATTTGCACTGCTGCCTGCAGCTCCCGGTGCCCGTGGTTCACTGTTCCCACCACTGATCTAGAGACTTGGCATACCTAGCATTTAGAAAAATATGTAAGTACTGTTACCAGCTGTTTATAAAAATCTGGTATTTCAAAGAGTGACTTTTGTAAAACAGGTTTCAGAGTAGCAGCCGTGTTAGTCTGTATTCGCAAAGAGAAAAGGAGTACTTGTGGCACCTTAGAGACTAACAAATTTATTTGAGCATCAGATCCGATGAAGTGAGCTGTAGCTCACAAAAGCTTATACTCTAATAAATTTGTTAGTCTCTAAGGTGCCACAAGTACGCCTATTCTTTTTGTAAAACAATAATTCTAAAAGCAACATTAGTTTAAATTTAAATATTTAAGGACATGTCAAGTAGCCATCTCTCTTTTTACAAATTTAATCATTGTGGTAGAGTGTTGTACCTGTCCTCAGATAGAGAATTCTTCTTCAAAACCAAGATGCTTTGTCATCCAGAGGGTTACAAAGTTATAGAAACTTGAACTTCTGTGCCATTAAGATTTTTACAGGTTATAATATTAGAACAGGTCTCAGATGTAAACACTTAATTTCTAGGGCAGTATTTATTCTTGGTTATAATATAAAGTCTGGAAAATCAGGACCTTCTTTGTAGAGTTATGAAAATTATTGAATTGTGAAGTGGCAGTGTGGTGTGAAATTATTGCTACAATTTCAATGTGAAACCTTTAAAATTTCATACATTAAACAACATTGCAGTTGATTTTCAGTTAAAACAAATTCTATCTTTAACAAAAGGCAAATATGTTTTTATTGCAATGAATATTCTTTGAGAAGAGAGAATGTTTTAGTGCTATTTTCTTGGTTTCCTTACATTACCACTTATGGAATGCTTTTGGAAATACTGGGTGCACTGCATCATTTAGCAGCACAAAAAGGATAGGGGATAGTATCCAATCAGTCTCCTGTTCCTTGAAATGCTAAGATTAACATTTCTGTGTTTGTGAAGCCAAAGGGATGCTTTCATTTATTCTTACAATTCTTAAAGTGGTTGTTTGAGAGGTTTTCTAACTCTATTATCAAGTAGTTTTTGGGTTATTTTTAAACTAGTTATCCTCCTCTGTTTAAAAGCAGACTGTCCTGCTTCTCCCAGTCTTCAGATATGTTAAGGATGGCTATGAAGAGGATGGTGATCAG